TCTTATAACCCACAAGACAGTAGCCACTTACAGTTGAGATGGTCACAGAGTTATCCTTGCTGACATTCAAAGAATGTGTTGTTCACCATAGCGAGTTCTGCAGGAAATCAAAGAGCTGTTTTACATCCACCTGTCTAGTGCTGTTTTGTGTATATGACTAAATCCCCTATTAACTTCTTATCTTCAGTGTCCCAGTTTCATCTCCCCCTATTAAATTGTCTCCCTGTCAGTCAGTTATGATTTCAGAGAAGTCTTTCAAAATGGGATTTTTTTCCTTTGGAAATCAATTCTCTCACAATGGATCAAGTGGGGAAAGCAGGCACAGGATGGTGGGAAGTCTCAAGGGAAAAAGAACTGAAAGAACATGTTAAAAAGAAGTTGCTTATGAAATTAATTCATTTCATACCTGACTGCTTCTCTTCCAATAAATAACTGCAGTACACCAGAGACAGGAAAAGGTCTTGTTAGATCTCTTGGCTCTTCAAAACATAAAACTTGCATAGCACAGACATGATTTATAAAGGGCTTTAAGACAACACAAACACCTTGGCACCATGGGATGCTCAGCAACATGGTTGGAAGCACGTGTAGAAATTATGACAAAAGCACTTAATAAAAGCTTCCCAGAATTGTGTGTGTCCCCACTTCCAAAGTGGAGAATAAATACCTTCTGCAAGATCTGTGTTCCTCCCTCCCTGTTTACTCTCTCTCCCCCACTGCCTCTCTTGGAAAGGACAGTAATACATTGTGTGTGGGCAAGACCAAAGGTGCCTCAGGAAACTGTTCTTTCATGCACAGTTGTGGTGTTTTATCTCATCCAGTCCTGCACATTTGGTTGCATTTTGCAGTTTTCAAGAACTTCAGAGAGAAAGTCCCAGTACCTCATCCCTCTAAATAACACAGAACTTTCTTTTAAGGTATTTTGTTTTCAAACTTCTTTGCTTTTTCCTTGTGTTGAATCCCTCATTGTATCACCAAACTGGTAAACTCTTTTCTAGCTCATACATATAGTCAGATTCAAGTACTGGGCAGCAATGTCCTAGGGGGTTCCTAGATGTACACTCATAATTTCATGTTTTTTACAGCCTATGGCATTGTACAACTGCAAATAGGGTGACCCAAGTTGTCTAGGGCATTTCTCATACAATTAATCTCCCCATCCATCTTTAAAGACTTTCCTCCTCCTCTTAGCCTTTATGTGTGTGCCTATACATGGGCAATGACTGATATGGGTCATTCCTGAAAAGAAAAGCAGGCTCAAAATCCACTAGGTGCTTTGGGCTCTTCTGGCAGGTACTTAGTGCACAGAAATTTTATTAGTGAGTCACACGCCTCTAACCAGCTTTCCACTAAGTGGTTGTTTTAGTATGTTTTGACCCACTAAAAAATGTCATATAATTAGGAAAATTATCAACTGAAGTGCTGGCACAGGTGTCTCTGCTTGTTATTCACCCATGCTGCATGATACTTAGATGGGAAACAGCGGATGTGTGTGTGGCGCAGCCTGCAACAGCCCCAGCATCACCATGGAGGAAAATGCTCTTCTCAGGAACAGCACACAGAGGTGGGTTGGCACCACCCTCTGCAGAGCCTTTTCTGCTCTCTGAGGGATCCAAAGCCCCAAGGAAGGCACCTTCACTTCCCTCCTTGCATTTCACTTTGAAGATCAATCAGACCAGACGAATCTTTCCTACACACTGAAAAGCCGTGTCTTAGTCCTTTCCAGCATGTGCCCATGACATTTCAGGGATTGCACCAGGGCAATGGGCCTGTGGCATTCTTACATCATCCTGCCCATGCTGAAATCCATCCTGCAGTTACTCTGTGACTGCTGCCTTGGCCCACCTTGCTTGGGAATAACTGATCACTCTGCTCACAGGACTGGAGAAATGCTTCTGTAGCTCCTCCTGTGTTGGAGCTCAAAATGTCCCTCAGACATTTTTGGAGGTTCCAGGCCCTGGTCAGAAGCATTTGAGACCCTGGCAGGCAGCTGGAAACAGCTGTGATTTTGAGTTTGAGCCATGGAATGAGTTACCAGCCTTGCAGGAAGAACAAAAAAGAAGTCACAAAAGTTTAGATATTATAGTAGAAGTAGTTACAAAGTAGAGGGAAGAATTTTTTAGTGTTGTACAGGGGGGTTTTAACACCTGTAGAGGGGGGTTTGTACTTTGTACATGGGGGTCAGAGGTTTTAAGATGGAGGAATGTAGGCCAGTCCTGTCCTTCCTCTTTTTTCTTCCTTACCTCCATGTTCTTGGTGATGTTGGCACTCACAGATTGGTTTAGAGTAGAAAAGCAACATTTAATATAGATAGTAGGTATTGGGGAAAAACTGTAAACATGTATCACGTAATGTACCTTATAAAAGATAGCAGCAGCCAGGGGCAGGGGGAGAGAAGAAGAAGTTGGGAGTCAGAGAGGATGTCAGGGGTGTGTGTGCCTCTGCCTGAGCTGCTGAGCAAACCTCAGTAGCCAGAGAAGACAATCTTTTAGATAACTTACAATAAACTGCCTTGAGACCAAACAACAGAGACTGCTGAGCCTTTCTTTGGAAGCACGGGTTGGAGGAGGGAGTTTTTCACCATACGGAACCCTTGAGCCAGGCCTGGGTTCTGTCACTCCTGCACACAGAAGGAGGGGTTCTCAGAGCTGGGAGCAATCTTCTATGATAACTAATGTAACAAAAAATCAAACTAATTTTAATCAAACTGTATTAACTACACTAGGGAGCTGCTTGGAGCATATGACTTCTGGCCCACACAGTCTCACCAGCCCCTTCCTGCTTCCTTCTCAATTTCTTACACCACAAAATTAATTCCTTTGGAAAGAGGAGAGAATTGCCCTTTATATTATGTTTTAAATATAGCCCTGTGATTAAAAAGCAGATCTTATTTACTTTCAGATCCCAGCAGGATAGAAAGGTATGCAGTTTCTTGTGCCTTGTCCCTGTTTAAGTACTCAAAGAGATATTTAATATTGTAAAGTACTAAATAATGGGAGAAGAATGTAAGGTGATGTCACTGCTCCTAAGAGGGGAAATGCAGGTACAAAAGCAAGATTCAGCAGCAACTCCAGCTGCCCCTGACATGGCCAGTGCAACTTCTCCAAGTTCAAGGATTCTCCATTCACTTCAGGATGAGAGCAGCACTCCCAAGTAGCCCTTCTCTGAGGAGAAGGCATTTATTTCAGAGCTGCTTTTGTCTCCTGCCTGCACAGAGTAGAGAGGCAGGGCTCTGTTAGAGGTCACTAAATACGAAGAGGAGGGATGGCTGCAGTTTGAACAGAAGACACAAACCAGGAGGTGGCAGATGCACCAGCTTTCCTTCCTAGACTGTGTCCTTCTAACTGGGCATCATGAGAAGCTGAGAGGAGAAGTAACATGGAAGAGACTTAATTTCTACCCACTGTCACATATTTGAAAGGAAAATTTGGTCTGTTTCTCTCATCTCCACTACCAGCAGGATTTCTGTTGAGCTAGCTACAAATTTCAGACTGCTTGTTTGACATGTTCCTTGTCAGCATATATGAGTCCCTTGTTCTCTCCTTTAGCTTCATCTTCTATTTAGCTTTTTGAAAAAGGAAAAAAATCAACCATTCAGAAGCAGCAGCTCCTACTTTGGACCTACCCAACTTGGTGATATCCTGGGGCCAAAAAAGGTGACACAATCAGCAACAGGAAAGCTGAGGATCAAGCCTGAGATCTATTTTCATCCATACAAATGACCTTCAATGTCCCACAAATCTTCTCCCCAGGGACATCTTTTTCTCCAGAGCACTTCCAAGATGCTTCACCAGCTTCCCTAGAGCCTGCAGTGCTCAGCCTCTTTGCGGAATCTCTCTCTGTCAATTACATTCCTCTTCCCTTATTCATTCCTATTCAGAAGCTGGCTAAAAGGGCAGAAAGACTGAATTTAGGAACAGGGAGCTGGAAAATCTGGCTTCCTGGTCTCAAGTCCTCCTCTGTCTGAACATCAAAGGAAGGGCAGGTCAAGCTTTGTACTTGTCTCCTGAGCAGCAGCAGCTCCCATGCACTCTCCTCCAATTTACCTCACTCACCACCAGCCTTGATTTCTCCATGACTTCTTTCCAAATCTGTCTTCACATCAGTGCATTACTCACTGAGCCACTTTGAATGAGCAATTCAGCAGCTTATACCTGCAGAAATCTCTAAAGAAAACTTTCATCCAAATGTAAAGGTCATTTTATTTGTATAAATGCAGAAAACTTTCAAAGTAGCACCTGGAATCTTCAGCAATGCTGTATAATATTTCTAGTGAGAACTACATTGGATCCACACAGGTTACACTTTACTACAGTTCAAAACACCTCTGTGAAAAAGATGACAATCTCAGAAACAAGCTGTTGAGTGGACTTCAGGGAGAACACTTGTGCAGGAAAGAATAGATCAAAATTTAAAACCCGGACCCTGATGCTTCCTGTCGGAAATGCAAATGTGACTGTAATTGGAAGCTGTCAGCTCCCAGGTAACAGTGGCAAATTAGGGTGAGGAACCAAGGTAAGAAAGTGAGGTTATAAATGGAGACACACTTTGCTGTCGGCAGTCTGACACAGTCATATGTGAAGGCTGCATTGCAGAGAACTATTTATAACAACACTCATTTGGAATAGTGCTTAACACTATGCCAGGTAGATTTAGGTTTAAGAAAAAAAGAAAAAGAAAATGGTAGAGGGTATAGGTTTTCACTGAGTTTCCTTCAAGTCTCATTTACTCCCTTCCACCCCTGCTGTGGAATTTTCCCTGTGCCTCTGCTGTGTCTTGTTCCATGGTGCTGGCCAGATGCCTTCACTGCCCGATTGCAGTCTTTGCCCTTCCATCCCTTGTTTATGCAGTGCATAACACAGGTCCTACATTTATTTTTTTCTTTTCAGAGGCCACAAGAATTGAAAACGGAATAACAGCTCATTTTCCTCCAAAATTTTGTTTTAAATACATATTCACACACTCTAAAGGCTTGTGGTTTAAGCTAGAGTATATCTTACCAAGATCCTAGTTTTCTGAAGGAGGATCGAGGGTTTTCATGAGGCACAGATCTGTAGGAAAAGAAAAAATAAATACCTTCTCATGCAGCTTTAAGCATTTTTTCTCAGTACTTGGCCCAAATGTATGAAAATTACTCTGGATAGATGACCTCTGAATGCTGTTAAAGATAAAGAACAGGTCAGCAAACAAGGAAAGACAGACTTGAATGGGCCAGTCACAGTAACACTGTGGGGTAACACAGTTTGGTGGTGTAATCACCCAAACAAAGCCATGTCTGTCCAGGCCCAAACTGTGCCCCTGCGGATACACACCATACCTTTTGCTGAACACCAATTTCTCTTAGAGGTGCCTTGAGCTTTGTATTAGTCATGTGGGGAGCCTAAAGGCCCATGGGGTAAAGTGCTATTAGATGGCTGATATTAGATTAGATTCCCACTGTTTTGGCCAGATCCAAGGGCTCCTTAATTTAAATGAAGTATTTTCTCTGGCAGTTTGGGCTCACACACCATTAATGTGGTGCAATCCTACCAGTTTAGTAACAACTTGGCATAGCAGTGTTTATGTGAGGAATGAAGCACTGGAGATTGGTTTTATTATGGGAATTTATTGTGGGGACTAGAAGCCTCCTTATTCTAGGGTGGGACTACTGTCATGTTCAGCCTCCTTGTTTATGGCTGGAGAACAACTCAACATGGTAAGACTATAATATTTACAGAGAAAAGCTACACAAAAATTTATTAACACAGTAAAACACCCATTTCAGAGTAAATTTTATTAGCAACAATAATTACTAATCAGTTAACTTGCTATTTCATATTACAAGATCTGCATTTACCATCCACTGTCATCTGCTCCCTAAGGCTGGCATAGGTCAGCAATGCAACTTTTGTTTTAGATGGTGGTGCACATTTCTCCCAATTTCCATTGATTATGACTAATTAGAAGTTTATATCATAGAAAGACTAGATAAAATACACTTAAAAGCCATTCTAAAGCTTATGCCAGCAGTAAAATATTTTCAATTAAAACTGAAGAGTATTTCCCGCAATATATTATTATACTGGTTATGTTTTTAGGCTTCCCTGCTTTAAAGAATTTTATTAAGTTGGAAAATGTCCAGCTTTGAGTCAGTTTTATCCCAGATTAGTTATATGTAGATAATTATGAAGCCAGAAGGGCTTGAAGATGCACATACCCATGGAGTGGCTAAGTCTCTTTGTAGGGTGACACAGCAGTAGCAAACTTTATGGAAGGGAGAGAACTCTTAGAAAGGAAGAGGGAAGTTTTTGTCTTGCCCTGCAATTGTGTGCAACTTCTACACCTCAACTGGCCACATTAAACTAGTCAACTGGCTCACGTTAGGAGCCAGCAGGTGACCCAGTGTGCATTTCTATCCCCTGCACACTTTATTTCATTCCCCGCCTGCTCTGTGTTAATACCTCAGCCAAAGATTCAAATGAGCTGGGGCTGAGAATGTCCCTCCAATCTCTGTGAAAGGAATAACACAGCTGTGGTTTCAGGGGATTTAATAGGCAAGTGCTTTGGGAGCTCACTCTGTCTGGCATGGAGTGTTGGCCCATGGAGAGGAGCACGTTGCACCGCTGCTTTGTTTTTAACCCTGTGCTTTTACTGGTGGAGGTGACAGCCCTGAAGGCTATCATTCTCTTCAGGTGGGACTTGAGCTACTTAAATTCTTTCAATGGTTTCTAAAATCCGTAAGATATACTCAACACCAAGGTCTCCACAAGCTCTGTTAAGTTGAAGATCAGACTATGGATGGTGTGTGAGGGTCTCTTAGAGTCCTAAATACTCCTTTTGTGCTGATATTCTTCCCTTACTTAAAGATAATGGCAGACTAGATCCTGAGTCCAGATTGTTCTTCCTTGCCTCTTTTCTAATTTAGTGATTTCATATCTCATGACATGAAGGTTTCAACAAGAAGTTTTGCTCACATGTTGCATGTACACAGTCCCACAGGCTGAAGGTATATTGTAAATGCAGGTGAACGCGGTGAGAAGAAATGATGATGTCTGACTCCAATTCAGAAGGCTGAATGATTTCTTTATTATAACTATGCTAAAATACATTAATATAGTATATAAAGGAAAATACTAAAACTACATACTACTTTCTCTAACTACCATATCTAACTAACTCACAACTTGTGACCCTGTTCTCCAGAGTCCAGACACAGGTGGATCCCATTGACCATCAGGCTCAAACAATCCTCACCAGAATCTAATCAAGCAATCACCCCAGGTAAACAATTTGCCAAACACATTCCATATGGGAAAAACAAGGAGCAGAAATATAAATTGTTTTCTCTTTCTTTCTCTATGAAAAATCCTGAGGGAGAGAGAAATGTGCTTACCACAAAGATATCTCATCATAAACGTCTTCACTTACTGTTTACTATCACTATATGCCAATTTCCTGTTTAATTTAAAATATCTCTTCCTTCCATATTGCATAAAACTGCAATAACCTCTACCATTACTGTTTTGAACATCATAAGTTGCATTGATTTCTGACAGCTTTCCTTGGTTTACTGACAATATTTAAACAGTGCATAGCACTTGCTGTTGCTGAGCTAAGTTTCAAAGTGTTCAGCCCCCCACATCTCCCCACATTTTCCTTCTTGGACACAGTGCTAGAGGAGAACACAGCCTACAGGATCTTGGGATGTGGTTGCATTTTCCACCACAGCTCTCAGCAGGTTCATGATCCATCATACAGCCAAGGGTAAGCACAGGTTAAAAAATAAGTTGACCTATCTCTGACCAGGGTCACTCAGAGTGGTTCCACTTTTTTTTTTTTTTTGTTGGGCTGACCCAAAGCAGGAGGATGTACTTACTCACTTTAACTACTGCACTAGGTGTCCCAGGCAAAAAAACAAAGTACGGGATCTTCCTATAGTTCTCACCCCATGAATGTTCTGAACTCAGGAGTTCTGTTGTGCAGGTTTTGTGAATGGCTATAACCTATGTGTTATTTTTCCTTTAGAATTTTTGTTTGTTTGTATTTCTGCTGAGGAGATTTTTCTAAGTATAATTTTCTTAAAAGCCTAAAAAATAATCAGGATATATACTGGTGTGTATAATGTGAATAGACTGGGAATGCTGCCACTGTACCATACAGGAAACACTTCTTGATCATATCCTTTCCAGTTCCCCCAAATGTGCAGTCCATAACATCAGAAAATGCATCACCAGCAGCTTCCACAAAGGAGGCATTTTGTGCCTTGCACTACTGTTGTGATACTAAAAATTACAGGCCTGTGGCACAGTCCTGAAGGATATTTATCTAACAGACTCCATAAAATCACTAGCTATAATTGCTAATTGTTATCATATAGAAGACACTCAGAAGCCATGGATGGCAGTATAATACCAAAAACTTAAAAGTAAAATTCAAACTCAAAATGGGTACAGCAGAGCTCAAACCCATCCATGTTTTGATGCCTTGCAAAACAACCCCTTCTCCTTCAGAAAGGCTTCCTGCCCAGGAGACTCCTGCCACTAATACTATAGCAGAGGAGGTCAGACTAGTAGGAAGCAGGCAGGAAAAGGTGCAAGAATCCATGCCTGTGTCTATTCACAGTGAAAAGGAAGCAGATTTTTCTGAACATAATTACATCACATGCTGGAGCCTGGGCACTCTGATGTGGGTGTACTTTTGCAAAAGCAGCTGAGAGCCTTGCCAGTTATCGGGCCTTCCCCACAGCAAAAAAAAATGACTGCTCTGGCCCTCCAGTGTCACCTCCCTGGAGCATCCTGCTGGGAAATATCATTAATGCAGCAGCCCCACTGAGAGAAAAACCAGTGTGGATTCACCACACAGGGCCAGTGCCTCAGTGCCAGGCACTTCTATCATTGACTGCAAACATCCCCTTCCAGTCTGATTTCTCCCTGAAAGGAATCATTATGGGATCTTACTGTGCACACCCTTGCCTATCCACCCAAGGGTTGCTTTTTAACCTCTCTGGCAATTTGTAGCTACACACAAAAATGGATCTCTCACACACATTTAGCTCCTACACGTGTGTGACAGAGTTGGATTGTAGGTAGGGGAAAATTCCTCTCTCCGTAGCCCCTGGGGAAATGTCTAATGACTTTTATTAAGCATCACTATACCTGCAACAGGAAAAAGGCAGTGGAAACCAGTAACTTTCAGCATGTGCAAAGTGGCTTAATATACCTATTTGCAATGGTCTGTCTGGGCAGCTCGATCCTGCAGGGACTGCAATGTCAGTGGATTAACTGCAGCACAGGTCCTGTAGATTATAAAGATACTCAGCCTCAGTGGATGGAGATCCTTAACTTCTGCACACCTCCTCTGGCTTTCTCAACACACAGCTGTGAGGCTGGAGTTTGCAGTATGATCACAACTAAGATGTTTCTAGCAAATCCCTAACATAATACACAACTTGTGTTTATTTTGCCTGATCTAGCAAAAGGCTTTACCTGGATAAAAGGCTGATTGGTTCTGATGAACTGTCTGCACATACCTAAATAGAAGCAGGGGTCCAAGGTTGCTGTTATGAAGACAAGAAGTTTCTGTGCATGTTAGAAACCCTCATGTTGCTTGTAGCAGCAACATGTCTCTGACTCTGGAAAAAAAAAACAAAAAAGACAGCTAGTTATAAACAAAATATCCAAATACTGAAATATGAATATGATGGGAATGTAAGATAGGGTTTATCAAAAGTCTATTGCAGACAGATGCTGTGCAGTTTTCAGCAAATACTTTGCATTTTGGTTCTCTTCAAATGCAGCTCTGTAAACAGTGAATAGTCCCACTGTTAATGACTGGCTTGCTGTATTTATAGAAAGCCAGATGTTATTTAGCTATGGTGGGATTTAACAAGCAGTCTAATAACTGGGGGCTTTTTTTTTTTTTTTCTAATTCCCAGCAGCTGAATCAGTAAAGCTTTGTTGCACCAACAATCTCAAATGAGAGGGCATCTACTCAAGGTTCAGCAAAACCAGCATGACACAAGGCAAGGAGATGGTGCTTTTTCTAGAATAAGTTATGCAGTTTGGAGAAAGAAGACCCATGTGTAAATAGAAACAAATGTTCTAATCCTGCAGTGATTCATTGTAAGAGAATTAATCCTTTCTCTGACTCTTTGCTGCTTTCTCTGAATAGAGGCAGTGTTCCCACACAGATACACAGGAGCATCAGGAACATTGGGGCTCTATTATTGACAGCATCATTTGACATTTCTAAGGCACTAATAATAATAATTTATCTCTGGGTGTGGTTGCTCCTCATTTATATGCTGAGAAAATTATTTGAGGCTCCAGCACCTCTGGACAGCTGTTGTCCATTTCAAATACACTCTTCTTCCAAGACTCACAACAGAGGCAAGGAGCAGACAAGGGGGTAGGAAAGAGTAAACAAATGGACAGCAAAGGAGAAGAAGCCCTCCTGTTTAATTTACCCCACTCTGCAAGAGAAAAGGAGAAAACAAAAACAAAGGTCTGCCAGCTCTGTTCTAGACTGCCTAGATATTACTCTGATAAATGTTGATGGCAGACTGATGAATATCAGCTATTAATGCTCTAAACCTTAATCCTACAGGACCCTTCACCTTTGCCATCCTTAGGAGAGGTGGCAGCCTCCATACTGCAGGAGCTGCAGCTGCCCACAGCACCCAAGTAGCATTTTCTTCATGACCTTCCTGTCTTCCTACCACAGCACCACTGAACTATAGTGCTCTTCTGAGGCCAGGGCCAACTCAAACATCTTTCTAAAATGCCATTTCAGCCTGCTACAATTACATGCAAGGCAGCATCCCTTCCTTTGACAGTGGGAAGAACATTAGCTTTTGCCATCCTTCTCCCACCCACAGGGAGCAAGAAGCTGGGGTCTCATAACTTTTACTTTTGAGAATGCACTGGCAGAGCACTTCCTTTACCTCCTTCAAGACCACAGTAAATTTTCCTTTTTGGGTACACACCTCAGCCTTTTGTTCATCTCAATGAGGAGTCCTGCTCTGATTGAGAAGGGGTTTTTATTTTCAAAGAGCTAAACTTTTTAAGGTAAGGCTCTATCACCATTAACTGGCATTTGCAAGGCTCTTTATACCAGATTGAGCTCTTTCATTTAGTGGGTTTTCTTTTGTCTCCTCTAGAAAATCCTATAAAAATATATCCATGGCATTTTGTCCCTGCCCTGAGCCTTGCACACTGGAAATATTGCTGCTTTTTCTCAGCTTCTGGCTGGGCATGTGAAGAAATAGAGCTCCCTCTTTCACAACCTGAAGCTGCTTCTTTTCCTTTGCACAAGAAATATCCCAGCAGATATTAGCACAAGGCTGACAAGGCTGCCTTTCTTTCTGGATTTACTTTGAAGAAAGCAGAAATCCATACCTCAAATCTGTGATATATGTAGCTCACACTATCAATGTGTTAGCCTAGATTTAAAGAAAATACTTGATCACAGCTCCCAGGGGACCGTGAGGCACAAGTTAGGAATGATAGGCCAACTGTGCCCAGATCAGGGAGAAACCTGATGACAGGAGCTGTGTTTGCCCTCTACCTTCAACGCCTCATTTTGCATCCTGTCTTTCATAACATTCTTTTCCTCTGTTCTTTCAGACTCCAGCACGCAGGCTTTTTGTTCACTCCTGTGGCAGGTAGGGTACATTGGTGCCCCTTAGTGCACCAGCTGTACCCCATGGGAAAAGGATGCCAAACAGCAGCCAAACTCTCTGGGTTCAGAAGGTGCTGTACTCCATTAAATAGATTAAATACATTATGTGCTCAGTCTGCAGGGGAAGGCACTGAAAAACAGTTCAGAAACTAAAAGGAAGCAAAGCAAGGAAACGTAGATGTGGAGCTGAAGAGCCTGCTGCCCTGCCCCACAGAACAGTACCTTCCTTGTTGGGCAGCAAGTCATCTTTGGGCAGCCTCATAACAGCAGCTATTAGCTGGATTGTGCTCCTTATTCTCAGCCTTCTCCCCCTTTAATCTCAGCTGATTTTGCTACTCAGTGCAGAGGAGTCACAGGCAGATGAACCTGTTGTTGTTAAGAGCCCTGTTTCCAATCTTGAAACCCTCTGTTCACGCACCTACATCTGCACTTAGACCTAAAATTGGCACTTGACACCCACTGTAAGAGGTAAGTGCTGACAGGCTTTCTGAATAATCAGCGTGCAGGTGTTTAATTGCTGAATTAAAGACCTGATTTTGAAAATTGAGCTCTAAGTATCTGTATTTCTGTAACCAACTCTACTATCAACTTCAGACATGCACCATAGGAAAATAGTCTGGCTGTGAGGGCCAATTCCAACACTTTTTGAGTGCTCAGTCTCATTTCTGTGCTTCTCCCATCCCATTTTCCTCAGGTGCTCTCCCCTTTCTGCCTGCTCAGACTTGGGCTTGAAAATGGCAAAGGGAATAACCAAAATCAACTTAAAACTCTCATGACTTCTGCTTCTGGAAATCTTCCCATGTATTCCTATCCCTCTCAGCCTATGTGAAAACCTGGGGGAAGCAGGTAAAACCAGGGTTCATACCTCAGTTACCATTTCAGTGTTGCTTTTCAGCTGCTCTGAATGGCCTCTTTTTGTTGAAAGACCACAGATGGCATTTGAGCAACCAAATTCATTTTTTGATATTTCAAAGACAAAGCCTTAAGAACACTCATGGTTAAAATCAAAACTGGAGGAGGCCAATAAGAGTGAAGTACAAGATTTCTAATGGCAAAACCCAGTAAACAGCAGACATGCCAGAAAGCACTGACTTTTTTCCTTTTGAATTCATATAATCAGGACTATTGATCTTCATGGAAATTATGTTTCAGGTAAAGAAGCTTTGCCAGGTTCATTGACAGGAACAGCAGAGTGTTTTCTGTCCTATGTTTTGAAAAGAGGTCAGCAGATGATACTGGCTCTATTCTGGCTTATTTTAGCACTCCACTGTAAAGAAAACAGTTGTTCTGGCCCAAAAGATATTTTAAAAGAAAAAAAAAGCCCATTTCACCATTAAACAGCACAAGACTTCCAACAATTCTCTGGAAGGAAATTTTATGATCTGCCTATGAATGTTGGTTTGTCCAAAGATAAACTGTCTGGAGACACTTATTATTAAGAGAAAATTTTGAGATTCATGTTACCCAAAAGCTAATATAAATAAAGCAGGGGAAAGGAAGGAACGTTTTAAAAAGGAAGTTAGTGATGTAGGTAAGAGTATGCTACAACAAAACCAAAACCATCTGTACAGCTGAATGTGATCTCAGTACAAGAAAAAGCCTTTTTGTTTAAATATCTTTTTCAAGAAAAGGAACTAAAACAGTATTGCTGGCATTGAGTAGACACATTGGAGAAAAACTAAACTCCAAGTGCTAGACATATGAGTACATAAATTTCTGAGCATCTTTGCTGAACATTCTTACATCAGACTCATATTTTGAATGCTGATGCTGATGGGTATCCTAAGTCTGTTTTTGAAGTTGTGCAGTTGGGAGTGTTTTGGAATTTTTTAAACTAAGTACTGGCATATTACTGGCCATTGCTGGCCCATAATGCCAGTCAGCTGCTGAAAAATAATATTCTTCTGTTTGAGCATTTACCCTTCCATCCATACACATGCACCTAAGTTTAACAGCAACTATGGCAATATACACCAAGACTTCAAAGCTGTAGATAATAAACAGTCTTAGATTCATTGCATACTGAAAACAAATGGCTTAATTTACAAACTTAGCTTTACACATGCACTTAAACATACCTGAGTGGAGCAAAACCTCAGGCTTCATATTCCAAGACCTCTGCAGATGGTTTAAGTTTAGGGCAGTACTAGCCAGCTGCCAGGAATTTTTCCTTTTGTTGCCGTATAAAACTGTCTCTCCTTGTCCCATCCACCATACAGAGCAGCTCATCTCCTGTCTCTTCACAAAAGCCTTCATATCTGGACACACAACACATCTTACAGACAAGGCTTTAGAGCAAAACATGTGTCCAAACTCTGACCTCAGTCACTCCTTAAGCAGCATAACTATTACCTAACACAAGCATTTCTTCTTACAGTGCAGAGTCTTCCTCCATCAGACCATTGTGTGAGAGTGACCACATTTGACTCTGTATTTTACATTATTCTCTTCTAACCTTCTCCTTTCTTTTCAAACAAGGAATTATTTTCCTTTTTAAGAAATGCCCTTCCAGTGCCACTGTATCATGCTTTACTCTTTTATACAATTGCCTTTGTAAGGAACAGTCAATGAAACCCACACTGCTGCTACAGATATTTCTTCCCATCCTGCATAGCTCCTACTCAGGGTCCCAAAGGATTTCCTCATCCCCCCATCTTGACTAGTCCTTTCAACAAAGCACAGCTCCCTCCTTTACTATTTTCTTCTTATTTTGAGCCTGAGCTTCATCTCTGAAATGACTCCCCACAGTGTCCCAAATGGAAAAATTCTGAATTGGCTTGCCAGGAAGTGGCAGATGTGTTTGAAGGAGAAACCAAAAAATGCATGGCACAGGTCCAAAGCTTTGTACTGGTCTTCTTTGACTTCTGAACAACCCTTGGGACAGAA